TAAATTATGTCTTTATACTTCCACTAGATCATTATGTTTAGTCCTCAGAAGAGACAGATAACTATTTCACAAATAACAAGAGACGCAGCTGGGGAAACCAGTTCCCCAAGGTCATACTGTACTGGGAAAAGAATAACTCCAAACCCCGCAGTTTCCACCACTGAACCAGCTTATAAATGGCAGATCTACTCTAGGCTTTAGGGCCATCTTTGATGGCCAGCAAGAATGTGGATACTCAGCTTGGCCACTCAGGCCTTGCTATATTAAACTCCATGGGCTCATGTACCTACCTTTGCCATCATCAAGAGGAATACACTCTACCTTGAGACTCACACCGTGATCTTAGATACAGTGTGCTAAGCACATCAGCCTCTTGAGGTTCAGTTAGAAGAATGCTTCTGGGTGTAGTCTTTGGAATGGCCATCCCACTGCACTTCTTGAGGGAATAATACTTTTGAAGCAACAAAAAGAAAAGAGAGAGCCATTGGAAGAACAACAAGTAGGGAGAGAGGAAGGAGAACTTGAGCCACACTTATCACAATGGAGGAAAAGGAAAGTTTCACAAAAGACAAAGGAAGATCTGGAAGTTGGGAGGTCAGTCCTTGGAGTAGAGCCAGACCTCATGTGTACATGGAAGCAAATATGTGCCAGCTCTAGATGAGTTTTCAAGATGTGTGAATAACGGAAAGCAATGTTGCTGGCCATGAGGTTGGATGGGGAGTGATGACATCACAGGCTGGGGCCATTAGCAGGTGCAGCACCTAGCAGACCTGGTATAGGCCAGGAGGACGGACGAGTATCTTCTGAGTTTATTCACACGGGGACTGCTCAGTTCTGGCAGTGAGTACCCAAGAAGTGTTAGAGATGGGGTGGGAGAAATTGGGGGCACCTACCTTTGCCATCACCCTGGTGATGTGTAACTGGAATAATCAACAATCAACCGGAGGCTATATTAGGAGGGCAGAGAGGGTCTAGAAGAATGGAGGGCCCATTTGTAAGACATGGGAGCAGAGCCACTGGCTGGATCCAGGCTATCATAGCCAGGGATGCAAAGATGGTGGAGGAGCCATGAGTCTTGGGGACAGGTGAGCAGGGAGGCTATTGAATTCGGGAGACAGGAAGGACAAGTGCTCAATGGAGAACAAGTGTCCAAGTCTTTGGTGAACGCCAAGAACATCTTTGTGGGTACACCAGGCACCTCGGCTTCCGGGGCAGGGGCCTTCAAATGAAGAGTGACCCAGAAACATATATAGAAAAGTAGGAAAACACATGGAGTTAGAAAACAGGCCCAGGTTTCCAGGAAAGTCTGCAAGGTAGGAGTTAAGCATGTCAGAGAGTTTGGGAGAAATACTCCAAAGAGAGGGAGGTAGGAAGACAGGAGTATATGGGCTCGGCTGGAGGAGGGCAGCCAACATGAGGGAGGAGTGGGGGGGTGGTAAGAAGACAGAAACTACAGAGCCTGTGGCACATTGGGCTCTATCCAGAGGGAACAAGCGTAAGTCCACTTCCCAGCAGCAAGGAACAGCCTGTTAAATGTGAGGGTAATTTTGACCCTCACTGCCTCCAGCAGACCAAAACCAGAAATTGGTCACCTGATTGAAGGTGTAGCCATAGGCTGAGAAGGAACAGAGGGAGGGAGGTCAGAGGCAAACAGCCTGGCCTGGCCACGGGAAAACAAGTGGACTTCCTAAAGCCTACTTCATGACTACCTCAGGGGGGTTAAAAAGTACTTATACCTTCATAATCCCCAAAGAGCCTCCTCCTCTCCAAGGGAAAGCAAGGGCCTGTCTCAACATGTTCCTTCCCATGCTGGTCTGTTCCAGTACTCAGCTCTTTGTAAGGCTTAGAAGTACATTCTCAGGGACCATGCAGGGCCTAGTTCTAATTAACCTGGCATCCTGCAGCTTCAATAGCAATCAGAACAATGACAATGCAGAATTTCTCCAAGTTCTCCAGGCTCCAGGACATCACCCCCTTGTCTCAGCTGGAGAAAGGCCACAGAATCTTGATGTCACTGCGTGGGCCTGGCCCACCCTGCCTTTCAAACTCAGCTGGAAAAACCACTCAAATGCCATGATGCTTTAACTGTCGGGTACTTGGAAAGTCAGAATTTGAGAGTAGCTTGCACCCAAGTCTTGGGGCCAAGCGTGGATGTACACACTATAAATGGTGTGCTAAGCATGCTTAGATATGAGCTAGGATGTAAGGGGAGCTAGTTCTTGGCCTGCCCCACATTTTTCTCTTTATTTTTATCTGTGGGATCAGGCGTGTTGGAGAGAGAAGGCCTGGTAACAACAGCTTCCCTGGTTACTTACATCTGTGGTCAATTTTCCACACTTTATTCCATAAAAGGTAAACGAGACACGGTACTTGCAAGAGGATGATCTAAACAATAAGGCCATGTTACTGTTAAAGACCATCTGGTTGCTTGCACCCAGCCTCACACTTTTAACTCCTTGAGGTAAGAAAGACACAGGAGCAGAGATTCCCAGCTGTCCTGGGGGGAGGTCTTCACCCAGAGACCTTTCCTTCCCCTTCAGTGAAAGCCTCCTCTAAGGGCTCTGCCAACACTCAATATTCTGATTCTAGGCTCCCTCTCGATGAGGCTCTGCAAGCTCTGTGAATGAGCAACTTAGAAAATGTTTTTACCAAATGCCTTTGCTCTTCTTTCTCTTTAAAAGGAAACATTAAAGCTTTAAAAAAAAAAATCTTTTTAAAGGCTTACACACAGTCCAAACGAAAACTCAAGTACTTGAAGCTTGTTTCCTTGACTTCCGATTCTTCAAGCCAGAGGGTTCATCTACATAATTTTAATTTCAAAAAGCAACTGACATCAGTGGAGAAGGAATGGAGCGAGGTTTTGCTTTTATTTGGGCTTACACATTTTTTTCTGGCCATCTGTTATCTAAGAAAGTTGCAAACTCAAATAAGAGATGGGAAAATTTGTAAATCAGATGGTGTCGCTCCAGCCCACCCCCGACTCTTTGGGTAAGGAACTAAAAATAAGAGATTCCAGGAAAGTTTCAGATGGGTCAGGTCACTGGAAAAAAAAAAAAATGGAGCTTGGCTGTCCTTTGAGGTACAGTACTCCCCACCTGAGGAAGGAATTCAGCATTTGTCTTAGAAGCTCAAGAGTACCCCAGCTTTCCCCTGTTCCCTCTATGGGTATTAAAACCATCAGCACAGTCTAGTTTAATACACCTTTTAATTTTTAAAGCCATGCCTTGCAATCTTCCATCAAAGTTGCATTTTCCAGAACCACAGCCACAATAGCCCCTATCCCCAGCTGCTCTTTACAGGGTGTAACCACAGGGCAGACCCAATCAGTGTCTGCTTTGAGGATGGTTTTCAGAGGTCAGAGCAGAAAACAAGATCAGATAAAACGGCAATCCCTGGCCCCAACAGGGCTGTCTAAAATAACTGCAAGACTGCTATTACCTCTTTCCCTTTTAAAGATATTCTGGGGCTGGAGAGATGGTTCAGCTGGTAAAGTGCTTGCCTTGCACAAGGACCTGAATTCAATCCCCAGAACCATGTAAAAACAACAAAAAACCTGGGCAGAGAGGTGAGTGCTTCTAATCCTATCTCTGGGGAAGCAGAGACTGGTGGATCCCGAGGGATCACTGGCCAGCCAGCCTCACCTACTTGGTAAGTTCCAGGTCAGCGTGAGACTCTGCCTTACGAAAAGGTGGACAGCACCTGAGGAGTGCCGGCTGAGGTCCTTTCGCTTCCACACCCACATGCTCACTTGTATACATGCACCCGAAAATACATGGACACTGATACACGCAGGAACATGTCCACACGCACACAAACACATTCTTGAAAATCTTGATGATATACACAGAAAAAGATAACACAAGGGGTTGGAGAGATGGCTCAGTGTTTAAGAGCACTGGCTGCTCTTGCAGAGACCCAGGTTTGGTTCCCGGCACCCACATGGTGGCTAACAACTGTCTGTAACTCCAGTTCCAGGGGATCCGATGCCTTCTCCTGGCCTCCTGTGCACTTATATAAATACTCATACACATAAAATAAATTTTTTTAGCTTAAAAAGAAAAAGACAACACAAAAGGCTGCTTGGGTATCAATAGGCTTAATAGTCACAAGATTGGGGCTGGAAGGGTGGGTCAGTGGTTAAGAACACATGCTGTTCTTGCAGAGGACAAGCATTTGGTCCTTGCACCCATGTTGGGTTGTTCACAACCTCCAGTAACTCTAGCTCCAGAGGATCCGACACCTTCTTCTGGGCTCCTGGGCACTTGCACACAGGAATACAGACCTACACACATATACACAAATAAAAATTAAATAAATCTTTAAAAACTATATCCAAGCTGGGTGTAGTGACGCACGTCTTTGATCCCAGCACTCGGGAGGCAGAGGCAGGTGGATCTCTGTGAGTTCAAGGCCAGCCTGGTCTACATAGTGAGAGTTTGTTTGTGGCTTTCGGTGTTGTTTGCATGATTCACTCAACAACCTTCAGCATCTTGCCTTTCCTCCTATTAGCCTTGCAAATCACCTCTTCTGGTCCCACAGGACAACTTATAGTTGTTAAGGAGTTAACAGTCCCTAGCGGAGCCTGTGGGAGACAAAGCATCAGACCCAGGATCATAAATCTCTTTCAAAGCAAGTTGGACTGCATTCTATTCAGGCTCGCAAACTCAGGGTTCATCCTCAGTTCCATAAAGTGCTACTCACGTCTGCTCAGACTCTTCATCTCCCAACACTTTAATCTTTCCTGAGACAGCAGGGTTTTTAACAAACACTCCCATCCCAAACACACACGTTATTTTCTAAAAGGGTTAAAGAACTAGGCTAAATCACTGAATTAATAGGTCTTTCGTTGGAATTCACTTTTAATATGAATTCTTAAACATCTGTAAGCAATATTTTTAAAGAAGTGGGCAGGAAAGCAAATGCGAAAAAGCATGACTTAATCATTACTCAGCTATCATAGTAATTTCACAATCCAAAGCAAAGTAGGAGAGATTTCATGATAACTGAAAAAAATGATTTTATTATGAATCCACAGCTGGATATTGGTGACAGTGCAGCCCCTCTGAAGACTTCATTCCTTCTGGAGAAAGAGTTCCCGTCTCGGTGCTTTTGGTCAGGACAGGTGGTCCCTTAGGATCCAGGGAGAGCTGGGAATTTCCAACAACTGCTGAGCTGGAATGACTGGTTGGAAACAACAGAAGATGAGGAAATGTCCCAAACAGCATGAGTCTCAGCAGGGAGAGGGCGAGCTGGTCACACATGGTAAGGCCTTAGCTGGGGCATAGGTGGGCCTGCCAGGGCTGGTGAAAGTACAGGGGGGCTTGTTTAAAGGACTTGGGATGTGAGGATGCAGGAGGGGACCCACCTAGGCACATGTGGGGGACTGGAAATGAGCAGGCATGTGAGAGAAGTGACTCTGGATTTTGGAGACCCTGGGCCAATTCTAAGCCACTAAGTTCTTTTCTGTTGGAGAAAGATGGCTACCACGGCCAATGGGCTGGTTATAGATAGGGGCTGAGTACATAAGGTGAAGCCCATGACCCAGAAGATGCAAGGGGCAGGTCTGAATATTTAACATGGGTACCAATGACGTTCAGCCAGTCAGATGCCAGGGTACCTGTTCCTGCCCGATGGGGTAGGGCTCCAGGTCGTCTGCCCAGGCTGGGATGGCGGGCTTTGGCTGGGCATCTGGAGAACCAGCTATTTATCAACTAGTGTAAACAGTCTGTTGGGAGTCAAGTCTTGCTGCAGGGCAGGCAGGTTACTCCCCTCCACATCTGTGTAAAAGGGATATTATGTTGCTCCACTAAGGAAAATAAGGCTGAGGGTGGAGCTAGGGAGAGCTTGTACTAGTCAAGTTTCTCAATAAACATTTGTTTTGCTGATAAGTTTGCTCATTTGCTTCTTTGTACTTATGGCACGGTGAGGAAAAAAGATTCAAGAACTCTTTCAAACCTGTTGGGCAGGTTTGGATGTCCCTCAGGAGGTGAGTCAGAAGGGAAGAACACTTTAGGGTAAGGCATTTAACAGTTGCTCCAGGAGCACTCTGCCATAGCCACATATAATCAGTCTCTCTCTCTCTCTCTCTCTCTCTCTCTCTCTCTCTCTCTCTCTCTCTCCTCGGTAGTAGGGAAATAAATGTGAAGTCTACAGTTATTACAGAACTAATTAAATATTATGATTAGGGTGAGCAAGGGGACCACATTAGAGTCACATCATACCCCCATCAGCCCCTCAAGGTTCAGGAAAGAGGTAAGCCTCTGTTAACTAAGCCTATGTGTCTGGAAGGGCTCGATGAGGAAAGGTACACAGCTCTTAACCTAAAGATATTTTTGCCTTTTTTGAGAATGAGGGCATTGCATTGAAACATATTGTAGCACATCTCAGACACCAAACATTTAGGAATTCAGTAAAGCCAGCTTTTAAATATAGTCATTATTACAAATCAAATATTAACTTGAAAGCAAGTAAGTTATGGTCGTTTCCCCTTATCTGTGGAGGAATATGTTTGGATGCCTAGAATCATAGAATCACTGTGATACTGTGATAGCCTAGACAAGCTTCCGAGTGTCTATCGGATGGGTAGTGCACACAGCATGGAGAGACAGATGATTCACACTCTTCACAGGTATGAGATCTCATCATGCTGCTCAGAAGAGCATGCAATTTAAAACTTAGCAACTGTTTATTTCTGTGAGTGCACACATGTATGTGTTTAGGCATGTGGAGTTCAGAGGATATGTACACACATGTGTGTGTATGCATGTGGAGTTCAGAGGACAGCCTTGGGTGTTGTTCCTCTGGTGCCATCCGCCTCTTTTTCTTTTCTCTTTTTGCTTTGCTTTGCTTTACCAACTGAGCCATCCTTGCCCTTCCCTCATGGGAGTTTTTTGAGACAGAGTTTTACTGTGTAGTCCAGGCTGCCTCAAGAGCCTCCTGCCTCAGCCTCCTAAGCACCAGGATTAGTTTTATGCCATCATACCTGCCTACAATAATAATCCATTTACGGGGAAAGGATTACTGGTGTGAGATGAAATTCCACCTGTCAAATAATGGCAAAATTGCAAACATAGGTTGGCTATGGCCAAAAGCACCCGCTCTGTGAGCATCAACTGGCTCTGCAGAATTTACCATACAGAGCAGTGGGTATTTTATCATTGCTTGTGAAACATATGCTGTATAGCTTTTATGTCTGTGAGTGCATTGCCTGCATGAATGTAAGTGGCCTGTGTCATGAATCATATAGTTTTATATTGGGAAAGTTATGTTATAGACTTACTCCTATACATACTATTTTTCCCTAGAAAGCTCACCATTTACCAGTGTGCAACTGATTGTGTCTGGAGACTTGGGCCTTGTGGCGAGTCTCCCCATTCTCACCACTGAAGGTATGAAGGGCTAATACATTTAAAACTCCCAACCCCACCATATACTAGATGAACACAAAACATGCTCTCCCTGCCAGACCACAGAATTGACTTCTCCCCTAATTCCTACATCTCCTTCTGACTTCATTCACAAAGTACTTAGAAGATGAAAACCCCATGTTGACTTTCTAATACACAACATTTCCTACTGGTACCCCATCTTGATTTAGACAAAGGTCAGTTCTACTTTCTTTGAACCTTCTGAAGGCACCTCTAAGGACAAGATGCTTAAAATGTGTTCATTCTATCAGCCAGTCGGTCACCTTACATTTACAGAGTCTGATTTGGAGACCAGATGTGGTGCCAACCAAGACTCATGAACATTTCATATGGCTGAGGGTGCTATGGGGATGGCCAGGATCTGCTCAGTACTGAGTATGTACCAGATGTTGTGTGGGGACACTGCATATAATACTCAGGCACACCAGTGTCTATGCATAGGTGACTCCTGGTCCAAAGGTGCCTTGAGACTATGCCTTGGTCCCCCTAGTCCTCAGGCTTCAGCCCTGACCTGGCTTAAGGATGCTGAATGCAGAGACAGGTACAGCGACGAAGCCTGATGGGCCTGGTATGAGTATTAGTTTTTTTTAGCCCCTCTGCCTTTTTGTCCTTCAAACTTTTCTTCCTTTTCCTTAGAGGCCAAGGACCCCGTAAGGGAAAAGGAATCTGAGTGGACTGGATATGGCATTTCAAAGACTTGTCAGGGGGTTGCAGTGATAGCTCTGGGGTTAAGAGGACTTACTGCTCTTGCAGAGGACCCAGGTTCAGATCCCAGCACCCACATGGCGGCTAACAACCATTTGTAACTCTAGTTTCAGGGGCTCTGCCGCCTTCTGCAGCCATGGGCAGCAGGCATGCATGTGGTGCACTTACATGAAGGCACAACATTCATATACATAAAATAAAAAGGCTTATGGGAATCTGACCATGGCTGTGCACATGTGTAATCCACTTTGCCCACCTTCCTGCCCACCTTTGGCCATTGCTATAGAGACTTCTCCACCCCCTCCTGGAAACCACTGGGTACCATCTAAAGGGGCTGCTCATTCCCTGAGGAGGAGCCACAGGCTACGGAAGCTCTGTCCCCCGACTGGTGAGCTTTCTCCCAGGACAGGGGAGGCACAGAGAAGAGGATGTGGGTGAGAACTGCCTGCCATGTTCTGCTGCCTTTTCCACCCTCAGTACTGCATACACTTGTGGGGAGCACATCTAGCCCAGGCACAGGGGCCCCCAAGACACCCATTCCTTCATCTCACTGTTTGCGAACCTGATGGGATTTACCTCTAATCACAGTTATTTTTCACCTGGCTCAAGAGACTCAGAGTTAGTAACAAAGCAACTGTGTTTGAAGCTTTTGCCTAAAAGTTAATAATTTATACTGCCAACAGCCGCCACCTTCCAACCTTCTCCTGTCCTGTTGATGTACCACCACAACAGAAGTTTCTAAACAACTCTTTTTCCCTACCTTCAAGCACCAAAACTTTCTTTTTAAAGCTTGGTCTCCATGGTGGGACTCATATTTGAGGTTCACTCTTGTGTTTATTAACAGGAGACCGAACAGAAACCCCACACAGCAAGGCCAAGGCTCACTTGCTGGCAACTGTCACTTTGCTCCAAACCCACCATGTACTTGTGTTGATGCTTTATTTCTCCATCTTAGGCAGGGATTTGAGCAGGTCATGAAGTCAGATCAAACTTCAGCAGGCAGGGATGGGAAGGCCACATGGAGGGCAGAATATCTCCCATCAGACTTAATGGCAATAAATCGCAGGCCAGTTCCCTTTTATTTCATCCTGTCACTGTCTCTGTTCAGCTTGGTTAGCTAATTCAGTGAGGAATTATGAATAATGTTCCAGAGAAGTGACAACCTTTAAAACAAGATTTTCTTTCTCTTTTGATACTTCTGTGTTAATTAAAATTGAAAGGCTTATCTTATTCATTCGATTTTCCTATGTTTCTGATCATGTCTTTATAGTCCCCCTTTAAAAAACATTTTATTATTTTTATTTTATGTGTATAAGTGTATTGCCTTCATGTATGTAAGTGCACCTGTGTCATGCAATGCCCAGGGAGGTCAAAAGAGGGTGTCAGAGCCCTTGGAACTAGAGTTACAGATGGTTGTTAGCTGCCATGTGGGTGCTGGGAACTGAACCCAGGTCCTCTGCAAGAGCAGCCAGTGCTCTTAACCGCTGAGCCATCTCTCTGACCTTATATCCCCCTTTTTGTGTGTACTGTGATCTTGCTATTGTTGTTTCTTTTCAAAAATCTAGATTTTTAAAAAAAGCAATTTCAAAGACTTTTAGATTAAATGTAGCAAATCTATTAATTCCACATATATTTCCCTGTGTCTCTACCTATCCCTCTGTGACCCCAGAATGTCCATAATACAGTAGTCCAGGTCTGAGCTGTGATCTCTCACTTAGACTATGGAAAGAGCTTGTAAGTCAGTCTGTCTGCTCCCGTAGTAACCAACCCCACCAGCTACTCAGGAGCCAAAAAACCTTGTTATAGGACAAGTGGTGACCAGAGCATGGGCTCTACAGGCTTAAGATGGTCTGGGAATTTTCTTCATTCCCAGAACAGTCTAGTGACCCCAGGCTAGTTGCCTACCACCACTGAGCCTTGGTTATTCAAGATTACTTGGAAAGTAGGTGTATTAATAATATCTAGATAGCTAGGTATGGTGGCGCACACCTTTAATCCCAGCACTTAGGAGGTGGAGGCAGGAGGATCTGTGGTTCAAGGCCAGCCTTGGCTTCATGACTCTGTCTTTAGAAAATAAAAATAAATAAATAAATAATGCCTATGCCTTAGGAATATTCTCAGTATTAAATGAAACAATATATACTTACTGGATGGAATACTATTAAGGATACAAGCTGGCTTAGAAAAGCTGTCGTGACTTGGTTATGAAACATCCCTGGAAAACTCATGTGTTGAAGGTTTGTTCCCCGTTGCAATGTTCAGAGCTGAGGCTTTGGACAAGGGACTGTACATGAGGACTCTGACCTAATGAGTGAATTAGCCATCAATGGACTCACTCTTAGGTGGTCCTAGAAGATGAGGCCTCCATCTCTCGGTGCCCTGGTTGCGGTGAGGGGAGCGGTATCCTCTACCTACCACAGTTGTGGGTTATGCCTCTCTTTAGGCCCATGTGCCAATCAATGGAGCCATTTGACAAGGGCTGAAACCTCAGAACCATGAGCCCAAATCTTTCCTCCTGTCAGTTGTTTTCCTCAGGCACTTTTGTCACAATGACATAGACCTACCAGAGAGACACAGACAATAAAGGAAGTCTTTGAAAACACATACCCAAATGCCCAGGGCCTGGAGCTTAGGACCCCTAGGGTTAGGATGTATCTCACCCCATACAGCCCCCCTTACTCACCCTGCTCAGCACACTGTCTTCTGTCACTTCTCAAAGTGACAAAGTTCACGCCTCAGGGCTGCTGTTTTTATCTGACTTCTCCATTTGAATGATGACCCCCCCCATACACACACTGTTCAGTTCTCAGTTTAATCTGGCACCCTTCTAATCTGAAAGAGGCCCTACTTAACCACCAGGCCAGCTGCATGTGTCTATGTCCTTGACTCTCCTTTGTGATACTTACACAGTTTACAATTATATAGTTATTTGCTGGTTTACCTGCTTAAAACCAGCATCTCCCATTAGCCTGGGAACACCATGAAGCCAGGGGGCACATTTTCTGTGCCCAACCCTGTTGTTCCCTTACCTAGCATGTGGGAGCCACTCAACCATTGTTGAACAAAAAGGGAATGGATGACTGAGTCAGACAGCTTGGCGGATGCGTGCAATGCCTTGAAACCCCTTTTGCCTTGTTCTCCAAATGGGTTATACCAGTTCACTGAAGCTAATGAAAGCTGCCCCCAGCCACAGTCTACTAGATTTGCCTGGAGATAAAGTGAGAATTACTGATTCATCAAAGAGTTACTCAGTGAGGAGTTCTTAATGTTTGCCACACACTCAGCATCATCTAGTAGCCTGTATCTGCTAAATAAAGAAACAGAAGATCTGAACCCTCCCTCCGCCCCATCTCTACAGGGACATCAGACTCTTGGGACACATAATGACAAGAGGCAATGAGATAATAGGACAAAGTTAGAGTAATTGCTTGGCACAGTGAGTGACACACTCAAAGGAAACAACGAGATTTAAGCAGAGAGATATCGCTCAGAGGGACTTTGTGGAGGTGTTCTCAGGACATGGGAAGGTGCGGAAGAAAAGGCCATTCTGCAAAGTGTTGGGAAGAGGCAACACGGTCAGGTTCCCTAGGGAGGTTATGTCAGTAAGGAGAGTGAGTTGGAATGATGGATGCTGGGGAGTGCAGTGGGGAGATGCTGAAAGCAGCAGGGGACCCCTTCAGACACAGGAAGGGGAGAGATGACAATGCTCACTTCTTTCTGATGACGCACGAGACCCTCTTGCCATCCATATTTAGCCTGGTGTTTTCAGCTGGTGTATACTCAAATGAGATTCTTAAAAATACAATGAATGGAGAAATTAAACACAGGAGTATTCTGTCAAAAGAACTGTTTATTACTCAAAGTTCTACCCAATCCAAGTGCTCCTAAAGGAAGCCTCTAATGGATCTTCAGAACATGTCCAAAATTTCCAGTACCTGTCACCATGACACGTTCAAGATACAGTACAGGACTGCATGTTATACAGCTCATATTAGAAAGGAAACAAGATCAAAAACACTGAAGATAATGTATACACGTGCACGTGCACACACACATACACACACACACACACGAGAATAAATTGTAGGTTTATCTTACTTAATAGTTTAAAAATTCATAAATAATATAGTACAGAAAGAAAAGGGAACTGTTCCAAAACTTAGTGTGAACTATTCTAAAAGGACAGAGAATGTTATGTTAATGCTTGAACTAAGCATTAACATAAAAAATACTTTGAAAAATAAGAATTATTTTGAGGGGCTGGAGAGATGGCTCAGCAGTTCAGAGCACTTGCTGCTCTTATAGAGGACCCAGCGTGGTGGCTCACAACTGCTTGGAACTCTAGATCCAGGGGATCTGATACCTCTGGCCTCTGTGGGCACCTGCACTCATACACCCCCACACATACATATAATTAAAAAAATTAATTTTTTTTTTGAGACAGGGTCTCTCAGTATGTAGCCCTGGGTGGCCTGGAAGTCACTGTGTAGACCAGACTGGCCTTGAACTCACAGAGATCTGCCTGCCTCTGCATCCTGAATTCTGGAACTAAAGGTCCACCACTCCTGACCTTAAAAATAATGTCTTTTTAAAAACCCCCATCACTACTGACCGAGGCACTACCTTGCCTCCTTTACTTACAACTCCAGATGTCCCACTCCATCCAATCTGGAAGCGGCCATGCCCTCCCGCCTTCTCAGCTTTGCCTCGTCCACAGCCCATGTAGGGCCAGCAGAAACAACCTATGCCTTCCTTCTCCAAACTTTCATTGTGAAAGTACTCTGAACACAAGGTCCAACGTACTCGCTCCAACCATCCAGCCCGACTGCTAGTACCATGGAAAGCTGTCCCATGACTCAGTCCTTTCTGTGGCTAGCATCTGTAACAGCCTAAGAAACTCATTTCAGAAATCTCTTGGATTTGAGCTTCAGTTCCGTGGGCACACATGGAGGCCACAGCAAGCAATCTAAAGGAAGCATTAGCGTATGCAACCCCTGGGGACCTTCTGCAACCTGACAACGAGGAGTGGCAGTGATGGGAACAAGTCACAGGAGCCTGTTGAACATGTGAGACTGTTGTGACTAGGGGACTGAATATTATTTCATTTAAATTTTAATTTATTTAAATGTAAATGATGGTGAGTGGTTACCAGCTTCCATGGTGGACAGAGTAGATGTCTCTTTGTAAACAGAGGTAGAAGTTTAAGATGATGCCCTGCCCCCCCCCCCCCCCCCGCTGGAGGGAGAATACCTGCAGAGTTGAGATGAAAAGGAAATGGAGAATAAACATAGGACAGTCAGAAATGGAAATCGAACTTCTTTGGGCAGAAGATGAAACTAGGTAAATAGAAAAGTGCAAACCCACCAATGGGTGAGCCTGACATAAAGTTAGAAAAGTCAATCAATGGTATTATTTTCTATTCTGAAAAACTAAAATATTTGAGAATTTATATAGCTAGATAGATGACCTATCTAGTGAAACTAAAAATAACGGGAGAGATGACTCAGTGGCTTAGAGCACTGGATGCACTTGCAGAAGACTCAGGTTCGATTCCCAGAACCCATATGGTGGCTAACCATCCATAACTCCAGTTCCAGGGAATCCGATGCCCTTTTCTGACTACCTCAGGCATTGCATGACATGGGTGCAGTTACATACATGCAGGCAATACACTCATACACACAAAATAAAAATAACATAAAGTATTTTTAAAAATTATAACAGGAAAAACAAAAAATACCTAAATAAAGTTAGATCCATTACCCCGATTGAGAAAATTCATGGTAATGTCAGTACAATTAGTCCATTAAATGAAAAACAGATGACCCTAATAACAATTACATCCCTGCTAGAATACTCTAGAATGGATAAATCACTGGCAAAGTAAAGCAGAAGAAAAGTACATACACAATAATCCTAAAGAGTGGAGGGGCTGCAGTAATCAAATTCTAAGATATTATAAAATGATCTTCATCAAAACTGAATTTTGCTGCATCAAAGCCAGGACCAACAGTAATAAAATATGATTTGAGAGATAGATTTAGGCACTGAGAAGTCCTAAGGACACAGCAAACAAAACAAAACTAAGAGTCACAATAATGGATGGAGGAATTACCATTTAATAAATATTGTTAGAGCAAATGGCTATCAATATGAAGAAAAGCTTATTATAGCCATAATTCACCAAATATGATAATTCTTTCCAAATTGGTCAATGAACTAATTAAACACAGAAAGCAATACACAAGACAGGATGGTGCATCTCAGATGTAGCAAAGAGATAATTCACGACTACTGGAAAAACAGTATTATAAGCTGAGGTTGGTAGGCTCAAATATTTTAAAGTATATTTAAACTCTTCCCAATAAAAGTAACAAAGCAAATAAAAATGGAGGAAAGGGGAGTCTTAAATCATGATGAATGTGATAGGCCAAAACAGAGTAAGAATAACTTGATACTGTGGCATAAATACATATTGCCATCAGTGACATGACCACATTGGGCATGTGGCTAGGGAGTTAAAGGGAAAAGCAGGAAAGGCAAGGGACTGGCAGGTGCCAACCCCAGAGCCACTCCTTATCTGAGTTATGTACATAGGGAATCCCATATGGGAAGGTGTGTGGTCTCACTAATACCTAAAGTACAAATTAGCTGGTGTCAATAGAAACATATTTTCATATTTTTAAAGATTTATTTCCGTTTTAATTCTGTGTGTGTGTGTGTGTATATGCACGCATCGCACGTGTGTGCATGTAAGTGAAGGTGACTGTGGAGGCCAGAAGAGGGCATCAGATTCCCCTGGAGCTGAAGTTACAAGTGATTGTGAGTTGCTGGATGTCAGTGCTGGGAACTGAACTCTGGTTGTCTGGAGGAACAGCAAGTGCTCTAAACTACTGAACCATCTCTCCAGTCTCTGCATTTTTTTCTTTAAAAAAATTTTTATTTATTATTTTTATTTTATGTGTATGAGTGTATGCCTGCATGTACGTAAGGGCACCAATGTCATGCAATGCTCACAAAGGTCAGAAGAAGGCATCAGATTCCCTGGAACTGGAATTATGAATGGTTGTTAGCTGCCATGTGAGTGCTGGGAATTGAACCCAGGTCCTCTGCAAAAGCAGCCAGTGCTCTTAACTTCTGAGCCGTCTCTCTAGTGCCACTGCTGAATTTTCAGTTTTGACTCTCTCCCTACCTAGTGAAATGCAGCACAGCCAACACTCTGGTGACTCTGGCATGTTGACAGTGTACTGTGCTGCTCACAAGGATGTACTCAATGCATTTTGACTGACTGTACTCTCTTTTTTTAAGTGTATTATTGGGACTGCAGAGATGGCTCAGTGATTAAGAGCACTGACTGCTCTTGCAGAGGACTTGGTTCAATTCCCAGCACCCACATGGGAGCTATGAACCGTCCTTAACTCCAGTTCCAGGAGAATCCGAAGCCCTCTTCTGACCTCCATGGCATTGCATGACATGGGTGCGCTCACATACGTGCAGGCAATACACGTATACACACAAAATAAAAATAATAAAATATTTTAAAAAGTGTATTATTAGAGGGAAACGAAATGAAGAAAGGGCACACATGCAACCTGTGCCATGCTGCACGCATGGAGGTCAGAGGACAACTTCCTCTCCTTCTACCCTCAGTTCTGGGGATCGAACTTGGGAAGTCAGATTTGCTCAGCAAGCACTTTTACCCACTGAGGCATCTCATCAACCTGCCTTTCTATATTTTCTATTTATGATGGGTGTGTCAGTTACTTTTCTTGTTGTTGTGACTAAATACCTGACAGGAATCCACGCAAGGGAGGAAGGGCTTATTTTGACTTACAGTTTGAAGGAATACAGTCCATCAAGGTGGGGAGGGTATGGTGACCAGAGAGTGAAGTAGCCATCACATCGCATATGTGGTCTGGAAGCAGAGACTAGCGACAAGAAGTTGGATTGGCTATAAAACCTCATGGTCTATGGGGCAACCACTTCCTCCAGTAAGGCTGACACTTAGACACAAACCACAGCAATGGCTTTATCAGGACATAACACCATGGTAAGCCAAGAAGCATGTGAAACTGTTTATTTAAAATTCAGAGGGCTGGGGCCTGCCTAGCATGCACAAGCTGTTTCAATCCCCAGCAACACAAAAGTAAGTTAATAAATAAATGAAAATAAAATAGTAAGAGACACAGTGATGGCCTGGGGAGATAACTCAGTCAGAGAGGTACTTGTCAGGCAAGCAAGAGTACCTGAGTTCAGTCCCCTAGCACCCAAGGTTTAAAAAAAAAAAGGCTGAGTGTGATTGCTGACACCTGTAACAACAGCCCTGGGGAGACAGACATAGGAAAATCCCTGGGGCTTGCTGGCCAGCCGGTCTTGCTAAATCAGTGTGCTCTAGGTTCAGTGAGCTCCAGGTTCAGAGACTCTGTCTCAAAAAAAAAAGTAAGGTGGAAAGAGATAGAGGAAGATAGCCATTGTTAACCTCTGCTCCCCCCTCATATGTGAATCCGAACACACATACACACACACACACACACACACACACACAGAGACGATAAAGTCATGCTGTGCAAAGCTGTGGGAGAACGTGCCTATTCACCCACCACTGGGGCACTATGGGACACCAATCCCAGTTTGTGCCAGCCAGCTCTATCAATACATAACAAGATCTATAGTCTGTACTTTTTTTTTATCTTTAATTCTTTGGGGACATACCCCAAGGAAATACTCAAAAGAGACACTCCAAAAGCAAAGTCAGTAATGTAAAGCAAGTTTCTAAAGAATATTAATAAGAACCA